AGTAGAATTACAAAAATCGTTGGTCATACACAATTACACTTGCTACGGTCTGTTCCACGCTTTCTTCTTGTCCTTTATTCTCAAACTTTTCATTCCGAAAATTCATAACTTCGTTGAAATTTGCCCCCCCTCAAAAATAAAAAAATAAACGACAAAATATGTCCCCTTGAAAAGTTTGATGGCGCAACTTGCGCCATAAAACCCCCTTCGAGACATCCCTGGGGGAGGGAGAGGGAAAGGGGAGATGGATCCAAAAAAAGTCGGGATATGTTGCAACATTCCCCCTCGAATGTTAACCCTGATTCTCTCTCCCCCAGCTAATTCTCCCTGATTATAATATTAACTAAAGTTTCTATAATAGATACATAGCGTCGTAAAATACATACGTATACACTTCTATGCCTTAGCTTAGCCATCTAGTTGAATTTCCCAATTATCTTAATTTACTTTACTTTAAATAATTTATTCATTCGAGTAGATTAAATGTTATTGATTTTGATTTTATTTTTGTTCATCGAATATTGTGGGGTAACGACTTGTCTAAGGATGGTTTCATAAACTGTTATTTTGGCATCCCATGTCAGTTCCTTTGATTTTAGTAATTTTGCCTGAGAATAAAAACATTTATTATCTGCTGTAATTCTAGCCTTTATTTCGGTCTGTATTTTATTTTGGTCAGTCACTACCACTCCCAGGTATTTAAATTCTTTCCCCATTGGAAAACGATGCTGATTAATTTGAACATATTCATTACTTGCTACATTATTTCTTGAGGACTTCATGTAAAGGTTTTTGTATTCATTTATGCTCAGGCCAAGTTGCTTGGCTGTCCTTTTCAATTCCTCAATCGATCCCACCAGGGCCGAAAATGTACGATCGCTGATAAGAACATCGTCCGCATATGCAAGGCATTGTGTCAGTTTATTGTAAATCGTCACACCAGGATTGGTCCTTATTGCTCTCATCACCCCCTCCAGCGCTAGATTAAAGATAACTGGCGATATAGGGCCTCCCTGCCTCAAACCCTGTATTACTTCAAAGCTGCTTGAAAGGTCATTTTGAATTTTGACTTTACACTTCGTGTTTTTTGTTTTTTTTTGTCATTTCAGTCAAAACAATAATTTTTTCGGGAATTCCTAGCATTCTCATAGTTTGCGTTCATTCCATTCTGTCTAAAGAGTCATACGCCTGCTTAAAATCAATAAAGATAACGTGCAGATTCACGTTATGTTTGTATGTATTCCCTAACATCTGTCTGACAGCAAAGATGTGGTCCACTGTTAATCTATTTTTCCAGAAACCACATTCATAGTCTCCGTAAACTCTTTCTCCCCATGACGCTACTATGGCAATTGGCAGCACTTTATATACAGTTGGTAGCAGTACTATTCCTGTGTAATTAACGCAGTTCAACATGTCTCCCTTTTTAAAAATAGTACATAAAACTGCTACGTTTCATTCTTCAGGGATAGTTTCCTGCATTCAGATCATGTATATGAGGTCGTAAAGGTGTTTTATTAGATCTTCTTCGCGTTTTTTATCAGCTCAGCTGGAATTTCGTCAAAAACCGTGTTGTTTTTTAAAGCCATAATTATCTCTTCTATTTCTTCCTTCTCTGGCAGTATCTCTTCTTCCTCAAATATATTACCTCCATTTGTTTGTGTTTCTTCTTCGTTATTCAGCTCTATGCCTCCTTATTTAGTATTTCTTTCCTTGATCTCAGCAAGTTTTCACATTTATCCTTACAATAATCTAGTTGATATTCAAAACAAGTTCTTGCATTTCTTATTCCTTTGTAAAATTTTCTGGTTTCTTTTGTTGCATATTGTCCTTGCATCTCTTCTATTGTTTTCCTTTCCCATGCTCTCGTTTTCACTCGGCATATTTATTTTGCTCTTTTCCTTTTCATTGTATAGTTTTCTTTGTTGGCTCTTGTCCTTTTCAAAAAGTTGGCTTTTGCGTCATTCCTTTCTTTAATTGCACGAGTGCATTCAAACCATTCGTTCCTTTCCTTTTTCTGTTTATATTCAATCACTTCCTCCGCACCCTCCATTAGAGTGGTTCTTATCTTCTGCCATCGCTGTTTAATGGTAGCTTCTTCTACATTTCTTTCATTTAGTCTTTGTGTGACCCTTCTTCCGAAAATCTCTTTAATCGTCGTATTTACTTTTATAAGTGTAAATACAGTCGTATTAACTTTTATAATCATGAATACGGCCGTGTTTATATTTAAAGCTGTAAATATATATGAATACTGTCTTTATATTTATTTTTATGAATATAAAAATATTCATATTTATATTCATAAGTACCATAAACAAAAATGGTATTCGTATTAATATTTTTGAATATAAATACAGCCCATCTCTGCGCTTTATCTGTAGCACGATAGATTTTGCTTGGTTGATTCACGTCTGCAGGTGTTATAAATTTCTTGCATTTGTGCGCTAGGAAAGTCTTCACCAGCTGCGGGTGGTGTCACATTATTCCAATTTTTTCTAAAACTTTACCCAGTCAGAAATAGCAACTTCCAGCTGGGCTTCAAATAATGGAGCTTTCTGGAGATCAGTAAGAGCCCTTAATCTGTCTATCCATGCAATCTTTAAAGTTTTTACATAAGAGTAGCAGAATCTGATTTAGATCACGGCATGTTCGTGAAGAACCGACCATACAAGTAGAAGAGGAGAGACTTACAACGAAGAACAAGAAAAAATAATGTTAAAAGAGAAGAGAAAAATAAACAAAAACAATCTAGGAAATGAGAATGCTGAATTGTTATATATATAAACAAGTAAAGATGAAAATTGTGCGTGAGTTCATTCAGAAGGAACTAAAACAATTAGAGGTGAATAGAGTGCTAACTCTTTAAAGAGTGAAAGAGTTATTAGCAATTGCCAGCTGAGTTATTACCAAATGCCAGCTTGTTCAAAGCTGTTATTTCAGCAGAAAAATTACCCTTTTTGGTGATATTCTGAGGTTGGAAGGGAAAAAAGAGGAAAGTGATTGCACAAATCTGACCATATAGAACACAAACGTACACAAAATAAATTATAAAATTCTACTATAATTTTCTGTAAACATACTAATTATTATTTGACTTAACATTAAAATCCTGTAAGAAAGTGATCAAGAATTTCTGAAGGGAACCAATTGGATTTAATATCATGGCAATTCGGATCACTTTGTTTTATTCAATCTTATAGGAACCCTTTGTTACATTTTAAAAATTATAGAACCACAAATAATGTTAGTTGTTGTTTTATTCACCCATCTGGGACTAATGATTTTTTTTTATCCGGCCCGGAGGACCAATTAGTTTTATTATAACATTCAATTTCGATTAGATATGGAAAATGAAAGATAAGTGGTTATTAAATATGGATTACTATATTTTATGTGAAAAATAAACATGCATACTATGTAATGAGTTTGGCCAAATTCAGGTTACAATATGATTAATATGTTATTAAAATTTGGATTGATTCATAATAATTTTTCATATTACATTGTTTGTTGGGCGAATTTTGATAACGTTGCATTTTCTACTTCGGTTTTTGATAGTATAAACTGTTTCTTGTTCATATTGTTCATATTCTAACTCCTTTGATGTGTGGTTGAAAAATTTTACTTGGCAAAGATCCGGCAGGTCTAACAGCAAACATCTGAGGGAAGATTGATGAGGACCCCAAGAATTGTAAAATGATTATCTAAGAAGATAATATCGAATAATGGATCCAGTAGTGGGTGACAACTCCAAAGGGACCACATTATGGAAGTCATTTCCCACTGTCTAGTCACGCCTGAAAGCAAAAAGGGTTCTTCTGGACTGCTGGATCTCTCAAGTCCTCGCAGAGCATGGGAAATTCCGTTTCAAGCTACAGAAACATAGCCAAGACATTAATACATTATGCCCCAGTTGTAGTGGCCATAGGTAGCCAAGTATCTTGTCATTAATTATATTGCCTATAAGGCATTGAGAGCCGAGGAATAAAAATAGAGCTATATGTTTTAAACCAATTACCTTCAAACTACTATGTTTTTTTTTTAATCTTAAAAAGCTCATTTCACAACTGAAGTGTCATTTATAGAATATGATTTTTTTTTTTTTTCATCACAAGCTATGGTCCACAGGACTTAGATGGAGGTCTCAATACCGCTTGTGGGATTAGTGGAGGTTCCAATATGGCCTGCATGCCAAAAGGTTTGGAGACCTCTGTAATAATTGAAAGGTAGTAGCAAGAGATAACTACCAGTACTTATGACTTTTGTTTGGCAAACAGGTAGGGTGATGTAAATAAATAAACATAATACATAATATGTTGGTGCCTACATTATAAAAGATGAGGTTGGGTTTTAGTGATGAATATATTTGACGAGTACCAGGAAAAATTTATCTCTGGTTTCCCTCCATTCCCCCAAATCAAGTATATTGAATCAAGTAATGTGTAAACATCTTGAGGGTAATAGATTCCTTTTTGCAGCGTTTCCTTAAAATGTGTGTTCAATTCTGTTATATTTTATCTTTTACTTATGTAATAATATTTTATTAATTAGGTCTGTTTATGTTCACAAGTACTTACTTATTCATTCTTAAGATAATTTGTTCACAAATTTCAAGACCTATCAACACAATTTCTTTGAAATGTGGTTTACTTAACAAAGAAAAAACAAATATGGCCTTATTTAAATAATTACTAAGTAAGAATAGTACAAAATCTGTTTTCAAATAATATATTCTGTACTACCTAAAACTTTCATTAGGTTCAGTTTTTCTATTCCTTATCGTTTTTACAAATCTCATCTAAAAACGGCCAATCACTCCTAAAAACTAGGAAAATTAGCAGCAAAATAAAATGTGGAGTAAATCTTAGTCACTGATATAGATAATAAACTTTATCTATAAATTTTACAGTTATCTAAAAGCATGCCAATGTTGCTAACGTTCAGTCAACAATTTAATCATTTAAATATTAAATATTTTGTAATTTCAGGCCTTCAAGATGAAAGGTGCAATTTGTGCCTTAATATTCTTCATTGTGAACTACTGCCATGGATACAACATATTGGTGATGATGCCTTTCCCAATGTATAGTCACACCAAATCATACTTGCCACTATTTATCGAATTAGCAAAACGAGGACATAATGTAACAATGGTCAGTCAATTTCCATTAAAAGAACCTGTTCCAAATTTCAATGAAATTGTCATAGAGGACACTAAAACAGAAATGAGTTAGTATATATTTTACTATATTTATATATCATATTGATATATTTTACAATATTGATGTATAATATGTATGCATGTTTATTTACTGACAAACTTAAATGAAAAAACAAAGTAATTCCTACTTTGAAAACACAGGATGTTTCCTTGTTGATATATATATTCCTTAGTTCTTAGTGAAGTGAAATTTAATCTTATTTGAGAAGATTGAATAACCTAAAAAACCAACGGTAATAGTAGAGTGGGGAAATTGTAAATATCCTTTCCTGCTAGTATAAATTTAATGAAAGAGGTGTAATGATGATATAAAAATCAATTCTTAGTTTATCCTATTTTAATTAGTTTATCCCTTGTAATTCTTTAGTTATTATTTATATTTGTTACTTTTTACATCATTGTAATAAGATTCTATAAGCTGCACCATATACTTATTCATATTTTTTTTTTTTACTGAATCTTACTGTCTAATGATGCTCAACTGGATTCCAATTAGTTCTTATAATTTCAAATATTCGCCTCATTTATTCTTAGTCCTAGTTGTTTTATGAATACTTCTTATTTATTTATTTATACTGCTTATTTGGTTAATTTATTTTTTATCTTGGTGTACTATTGCTTACTCCTTTTTTATTATTTGTTTTTTTTTTTACAGAAGGAGGCAAGTTTGATCCAAGAGAGATGGAATGGTTTTTGGTTAGAGTGTTTGGTCCTAGACTGTTTTGTAAATTTATGCTTGATAAAGTATTTGATTCTAAAGTCTTAAAAGCATTTCTGAATGACAGGGATTCCAAATTTGATATGGTCATTACTGAGACTTTTTTTTGCCAGGAACCATTTATAGCTCTAGGGCACAAATATGGGGCTATTCAGGTTTCTGTCCAAACAATTAATTTATTTATGGGCTTATCTCGCTTAACTGGAAACCCACACAATCCAGCTTATGTGCCCTCTCCCGTCTTTCCATCTTCACATCACATGAATTTTTGGGAAAGATCAAAAAGTACAATAGCTAACCTTATAGATTATCTTATATCCCATGCAGGATGGATATATTTGGTACTTTCTTTTCAGTTAATATTATTAGCTTGTTCTATCAATTATTAATTATTGTTCTTTATGAAAATAACTATTTTTTTATTATTTCAGGACTATTATATGAGACAAAAATTTGCACCATACCCAGGATTTGAAAATTTGCCGCCAATGATAGATATGTTTAAGAATCTATCTCTTATTCTAGTTGATAATCATAAGGCAATAACTTACCCCCGTCCATATCTTCCAAACATAGTAGAGATTGGTGGATTGACAATTAAAGGAGGAGATAAGCTTAATGAAGTAATTCTATTTGAATTAATCCTTTATTAATAACAACCCTGTTTTGAAATATGATTGAAGCTTTTCTCTTCCATGTATTAAATTAATTGTAAATAATTCTTATTTATCTATATAATATATATTATCTATTTTTTTTTTATTTATATAAATATAAGAGATAGTCTAATGTTTCGGACTATTTGTCCATCATCATAGGCAACTCCTTTTTCACAGTTAGAACATCCTAGGTTAATAAAATTTGTTACAATTTTTTCTATATGTATACATATTTGTTCAAATGTATTTACAATTAATTTTTACTTTGCCTTCTGCATTGTATTAACATTTGTTATTTTTTTCTTTGCCAATATCATAAATATATTAAAAAAGATATAAAAACAATAATCAGGAACAGAACCAAACAAACTCATATAAGGGAGAGGGGTGATTGAAATGGAAGGATTAGAACAAACTCAATACAAACTAAATAAATTGCAAAGGAAGGAGATGGTCCGGGGTCACGGTCATAAATAAATTGCAGTATGAATAATGAAAATTGACTAAGGTAGTATATAATTGTCTGATAGAATAAGGGAAAAAAAAGACAAATATTAATAACATGAAGAAGGTAAAGTAAAAATTAATTTTAAATGCATTTTAAAGAAATATATATAAATATAGAAAAAATTGTAACAAATATTATTAGGATGTTCTAACAGTGAAAAAGGAGGTGTCTCTTATGATGGACAAAAAGTCCAAAAAGTTAGACGTATGCATCTAGATAAATAAGAATTAATTACAATAAATAGAATACATGGAAGAAAAAAGTTTTCCATACCTTATACCTAAAATATACCGTGTTCTATTTTTTTTATCTATTCTATTTCCTTTCCTATCTGTCTAATAAATCAAACTTGCTAAATTTAACATTCATTATTTCTATTAATTGTATTAGTTATCTGTTATATTATTTATTATTCCTTATATATGGTCTTTTATAACTTTTTTATTAGATCCACTTAGCAAATTTGTAGATTTTCATGATTGTTAAAAATAGAAAAATTAAACATTGGCAAAACTAATGGAAGGAAAAGTCTAATAAATAAATAAGAATGGTTTTCTTGGTGAGGATTTGTTACTTTCTTCTCCAATATTACAATTTTTTAAATGTTTTAGGAATGGGAAAAATATTTGAATGAATCTGTGGATGGATTAATATACTTCAGCTGGGGCTCTCATTACAAAACAGAAAATATGAGGCCTCACGAACTCGCTGCTTTCATGTCAGCATTCGGAAAGCTAAAACAAAGAGTACTGATGAAAGCAGATGAAGATACACTGCCGGGGAAACCTGATAATGTAAAGCTGGCCAAGTGGGTACCACAAGCTAGTATATTAGGTGACTATTTTATTGCACATACAATTAAAATAGGTATATGTTTCGTATACAAGAGGAACATATAAAGGTTGATCATACATACAAGCCGGAAGTTGATCTGGATGAATAATTTTGATTGCTTCAAATATTGTTGGATAATGATTAGTAAAACATGATCTGGATTGGCCATGATGATGATTAGTACAAGCCTCTCAGTGTGTGGTGGGCGGGGTGACCGAATGGGCTAACAGCACCGCCGTTGCCCGGCAACCTGACATATGAATCTAATGATATAAAAATAATCACCAGTTCGCGTCCCGGTGCTGAGGGAGTCTTTTAAATCCCCGCCCACACTCCCTGGCCTGGGAAAACCCCGTATAGTCTTAACGCGAGGAAGGCGAGGACCCCAAAAAAACTCCAAACTTCTAATATATGAGGAATGTAAGAAGAAATGCTTATGAAGATCTGTAATAAGCATTTCTGTCTTGCAAAGATTTTTCTGAACTTATCAATTTTAAAATACAGGATATATTACCATATTCTATTTCTTAATATAATGCTTTTTATATTACAACTTTTTAGTTTAAGCATACATGTTTACGTTATGGTAAAAATAAAAAATATTCATATGTTTATTATTTCTTTATTTATTTTGTTTTTTTCATTTTACATACTGTTAAAAAAAAAATTTGCTTTCAAGCTTCTAAAACCTAATTGAGTTGATTAAATATATTGAGAAATGTAAACACCAAAACATGAAAAATAGTTAACGTACAAAATTGTAAATTCATAAATTATTGGAATTAATTAACTTTTTAAACATTTTTACAGTTGATGATTTCTCAACATTTTGAGCCATAAATATGAATAGCAATAAAATTGTATTTAGAAAATTTCAGTACTTTGGTTATCAATACCATAACGCTTGCAAACTAATTGTTTATTATTTTGACTAAATTATTAGTAAATTTGAAGCTAAGATTTTCATTGAAATTATTTAATGTTTTTTATTTTTACATTTTTGTTTAATACTTTTTAGGTCATCCCAATGTCTGTGCTTTTATCAGTCATGGAGGACTTCATGGAGTTTTGGAAGGGACCTATCATGGTGTTCCAATCATAGGAACTCCTCTGTTTGCTGATCAAAAGAGCAATATTAAATTTTGTGAAGAGGCTGGTTATTGCATATATATTGATCTTAAAACTGTCACTGAAGGAGTCCTTTTGGATGCTATTAACAAGATACTAACAGATTCATAGTGAGTTATCACATTTTCCTACAGTGCTGTTCACATATAATTTAAGTAGTAGTATATATACCATTCAAAATTAAGAGAGTTAATTTATTAAGCTAATAAACATAAAACACCATATGATTGTATCATTTATTATTAGGTATGCGAATTAAAACTAAAATCATTCTTCATAATTACTAATATGATATTTACTCTATTTAATAAATTGATGTATAGATAATGATAAATGAATATATAGATTTAATCAATGAGTTAAGTATTTAAAAAATAAATAAATAAAATTGAGAGAAATATTAAAATAAAATACAATGCGGCTGTGTGAACATGATTTAAATGTCTACATTACCATTCTAATGATACAAATAAAAACATAACAAAACCTTAGTCACAGATTATAGTTATTTTTTCATTCATTCATGAATCAAACAATAAGTAAGTATGTATTAATTACAAATAAGATATCAAATATATACAATATATAAATATACAGATCATAATTAATATAAATATTATAATAATTTATTTTCTTTTTTACATAAATTAGGCCATTATTCACCAACATTTCATTTATTAGCTATTAATTATGACGTTTCGACCATACTAAGGACCATTTTCAAGTCTAAATGAGTCCTCCATTAGATGTTCATTATTAATGGGACATTAATAATGAACATTTAATGGAGGACTCATTACGACTTGAAAATGGCCCTTATTCGTAATTGAAACGTCGTAATTAATAGCTAATAAATGAAATGTCGGTGAATAATGGCCTAATTCATGTAAAAAAGAAAACCTTAAGACACCAATTTTAGGAAAAATGAACAGAAGAAATATTATAATTATGATTTTTTTTTGGCACTACAGACTTTATAGCTGCCTTAAAAAATCTAAGCGTGTTAAGGCGGAAAAAGATCTACAAAGTCTATCAAGCCAAAAAAAAAAAAACATCATTATTGTAATATTTACATTTATTATGATAATAGCTTGGTGCATTACATTAATCATCGCAGAAACTTATTTGTTTGAAAAATGGATTTAAGATATTTTTTTTTAACCAAACAATGAATTTATTTTTAATTATTCAAAATTCACTATAAATTTCTGATTTATAAATATTTTTACAGTTATAAAGAAAATGCCCTTATAAGGAGTAAAATCATAAAAGATAATCCCATGAGCGTCATGGATAATGCAGTCTACTGGGTGGAGTACGTTCTTCGGCACAGGGGAGCTCCTCACCTGAGATCTGCGGCTGTAGAACTGTCTTGGTACCAATATCTGCTCCTTGATGTCCTTATAGTTTGGGGAGCAGTTTTAGCTCTGGCTGTATTATTATTAAGGAAAAGTATTAAATGTATATGTAGAGCAAGGAAATCAAAAAGTAAAAAAGACTGATGAAAACTTTGAAATCTCTGTCCAATAATTAAAAGACTATAAGTGATTTGCTGGGGTTCAGATACTTATATTTCATACATTGTATTTATTATACCCTACTGTTATTAAAAATCAGATGCTATTTAATATGTACATTGATATGCTGTGATCTTATAAGTTGTTGTAATGTATATTAATATAGACTAAATAAAAAGAGTATTTATAATGAAGTTGCTAAATTAAAAAAAAAATCACTCCATACCTTATTTAACTCTGGATATTAAGGCTGAATGTCAAAAAAACCAATGTTAATCATATCGATTCCACAAAGCTAATTAATTCTCTTTTATTTCACCCCTTACTACATATTTTTTCCTACACCTCTGTTAGAAACCTTGGAGTAATTTTTTTCAACACCTATTCTGGAATAATCGTATCTCCCTAATCATCCGAAAATGCATTGGAATTCTTAAACAGTTCTTAAGATTTTGTGATTATATGCCCCCTAAAATCCAACAGCTCTTAGTCTCTCCACCATTTTCCCTTAAATAATATGGCTATCTGTTAAATGGTCCACTACTACTAATGAATTATTTCAAAAATATCTTGTGCCTAGGTGGTTTAAAGTGGCTTTATCTTGTTTCCTAATATAAATACTTTCTTGGTGTCTACATTACCTGATCCTTTAGAACCTAAGATCCTCCTTTATTCTTTAATCTGTTCCCCTCAAGTTCCTTTAAACTGTCCACCCTTTAAACAACAAATCTCAATTCGTAAGCTTTCTATAGTTTATTCATAAGTATCCCTTCTCACAGAATTACTTCCTTCAAAAATTCCTTTATTATCTGTACTATCTCGTTTTGTAATTCCTTATCCATCTCCATCATAAAACTCCATCTTAAATCATTTAAGCATGAATTATTTCTCCATTTCTGCAGCCCTAAATCTTCCAAATATATATAAAAAAAAGAATTGTTTTCTTTATTTTTTTCATATTAAAAAAATTAATAACTCCGATTAGCTTTAAGGTCACATTAATTAAGGAAGTTTTAGTAATTAATATGTTATTAAGAAATAAATTGAGATTAACCTCAAGTTGTATAAACAAATTTGATGTTGTGATATCCTATCACCTTAACTCAAAGGTTTGTATGTGCCTAGGATGTTACAGCACTTTTTCGTCAAACCGGAAATGGCCCTTTATATTATAGTTTAACTCATTTTCACGTAAATGATTTTGATTTAAGTCAATATGTCACTGCTCGTTAATAATTAGCTGAAAAAAAAAATACGAATTCGCGTCCGTAGACCAGTGGCTTTTAAGTCAGGCATTAATCCCCCACTCTCTTCCTCTGGTCCGGGAAAAACCCGTATAGCCTAAAATACGAGGATGGGGAGGACAAGGGAGGGAAAAAATCCAAAACGTGCAACTTTGTCCAGCTTAAAATTTTGTTAAAGTAACTTTTGTTATGTGGATTGGTTATAAAATTAATTTTCATCAATTTCTAAGTAGCTGATATTGAAATATAATTTCACGGTGATCCGTGCTCTAGTTATTAGGTTGCCTAATTATTAAGGTAGTGAATATTAATAGATAATAGTCTCAGGTCTGAGCCCCATCCAAGGATTTCATTATGCATTCAGGAATAAAGTTCTTATCTTGTTTCATAATAATTATATGTTATGAAAAATGAAGATAGCAGACGCTGATAAGTTATCTTGTCGAAATTCTAAAACAATAATTAGTAAGATTACGCTGGATATTCAAGGCTTACACTGTTGCAGCCCAGGTAAGCTTTGAATAGTACGACATTTGACACCATAAGTATTGCTTAATCACATTTTAATAGAAAAAATAAAATAAAAATAGAGTTATTCTTCTTAAGAAAGGCTTGTTTATATTTAATCGTATGCCATTTCTTCACTTTTAGTTTAATTTGTTACTTCCATCTGGATAAATCTCTATTTTTGTTTATATAAATCAACAAATTATTACATAAATTTTGAATTAATTTTATTTATTTTTTAAATGTTAGTATCTTAGGTTCAATTAATCTTAAGTATAATAGGCATTTAAAGATTAAAGCCTTCTTACAATGAGCAGTGATGCTACGATTGCGTGACATAAAAGTGTTTCAAACGGGGAGAAAAAAAATATTCTAAAATTATAGTGTGAACAAAGTGTTTCAAACGGGGAGAAAAAAATATTCTCAAATTACAGTGTGAACAAATTTCATTTATTAAAAAAGAATTGTCACTTTTGAAATAAATAAAATTTCTATGATTGATGTATTAATGTATTTCAAATTTATATAAATATACATAATTTATTTTAAAATAGAAAAAAATGCAGCTTATGTATTTGAAGTCTCTCCGATAAATGGCGTCATTCTAAGCGCATCAAAATTTCTCTCCAAATTGTTTCACTTCATTCATGTCAGTTTTTCTGCTATGATTGCATTTTTTTAAGAATTGCAAAACAGCTATAAACAAAATGACTGGCGTTCCACCATATGTCATATGCCATTACTAGACATATTGAGTACTGACTAAATTGATATGAACATTATTATTATTATTATTTAAATACATGTTTGAAATTAGTTTAATTACAAAATTTCATATATGTAAATGTAAAAAAACTTATGTAACCTATCTGAGAATTTTTACATATTTCAAAAGTGTTCATTCTTTTTGCGCCACCCTGAATAACTATTTTATCATTGTTTTCGAAAAATAAAGAATTTTTACAAAACAAATATTAATATTATCATAAAAGTGAGGAAGCGATACTCCCTTCCCCTCCCTCCAAACAGATCAGCTAATATTTAACTTTACATATTGATTTGCATTTTGTACACACTTCAGACAGAAGGACAAGAGAAAAAAGCAAAAAAAAAAAAAAAAAAAAAAACGCACTTCAGTTAGATCAATAGCTGATATCGAGACCTTGAAACATTGCCATTGAAATATTTAATCGCTACATAGTATTTTTATGGCAATTGAAACTTTTTAAAAGTAAATTACAACCTTTTCCATTTGCAACTAGGTATGCAATCTTTTATTTATTTATTACAATATTTATTTTTAGATAGATAGATAGATAGAAAAACTTTATTCTGGGACAAGGTCCCTTATGAATAACAGATATGAACAAAAAAATAAAAACTACATCTGGCCAAAAATTACATTAATCAATATTACAGAATATATACAATATCTTTAGTGAAATTAAATTAAAACAAGTAAAAATAAAATAAAATTTTGAGAGAAAACGAAATAAAAAAAAAATTATTTAAATGAAAATAAAAATAAAATAAAATAAGCATGGGTTGATTTTTAAAATTAAGACTCAATAAATTTTATCAACCATTCACCTCAGTCAAAATCTGTTTCACAATATTTATTTTATTGTATAACGTCATTTTGGGATGTGAGAAGGAATTGGTAGAGATGATATTTAAATGAGGACAACGAGGAGGCATGGCGGATATCAGGAATTCCAGAAGGCTGTGGATCGGGAAATAAAGGAATATTCAAACGTCTTAGTTCTATGGGAAGGGATATAAAGGTCGGAAACACGGGATCTTGTTTTCTGGGAGTGGATCACGGGTTTAAACTGTAGGAGACTGTAGATGTAAGAATGGTGTCTGGTGTTGATTGTTTGGAATAGGAAAGATCCGAGGAAATATTGTCTGCGGAAAGAAGGGAAGAGCCACTTTAACTCGTCGTAAAGGTGGGACACATGAGATCGCCTTGAAGTACCTAAGACAAATCTTAAGCACGTATTCATGAGTCGCTTCAATCTATCCTCGAGTACCATCGGGATGCCTCCGTACACCACACAGCCGTAGTTAAAGTGGGAGGAAATGAGAGAGGATACAAGGAGCTTGCGGATGGGTTGTGGGAGTAGGTGGCGGGAGCGATGAAATAGCTTAAGGGTACCTATTGACTTACGGGAGATGAGGGCGATATGGGGTTTCCAGGAGAGGTTTTCGTCTATGGTGATTCCTAGGTTTTTAACGGATGAACTGAATGTGACAGGATGATGGTTGATGACTAAAGGAGGAAGGAAGGAGATGGATTTAAGAATAGGACTGGAATCTATAATAATGGCCTGAGTTTTCATCGCATTTAGATTTAAATTATTCAGACTTGCCCAGACACTGATCCTATCTAGGTCTGAATGAATATTGGCGAACGCGACTAGTAGCTCAGAAGGATGAAAGGAAAAATATATTTGGGTGTCATAAGCGTATAAATGATGTGAACAGTGGTAGATGGATTTGGAAAGATCATTTATGTAGGAATTGAAAAGGAGAGGGGAAATGTTCGAACCCTGGGCCACTCCAGAGGACAGTGTAAGAAAGGAAGATAGGGGTTGGTTTGGAATGCTGACTGCTTGATTTCTGTCGGATAGGAAAGACTGCAACCAGAGGAGAGAGCTGTTGGAGAAGGATAGAGATTTTAATTTAGTATAGAGTATAGAGTGGTCTAAGGAGTCAAAAGCTTTGGAAAAGTCGAGAAGTATTAACACAGTTAACATTTTTTCGTCCATTGCGGTATGTAAGTCATTGGTAATTTTTAGTAGGGCGGATTGTGTGGAGAAGCCAGGTCGGAAACCAGATTGGAGAGGATCTAGTAGATTTGAGTTTTCAAGGAATTTAGAAATTTGGGATTGAGCTATTCTTTCCAGAGGTTTAGAAAGGTTAGAAAGAATGGAGATTGGGCGGTAGTCTTTAGGAGAGGTAGGATTGGGAATTTTGTTGATAGGTCTGACTAATGCTTTTTTCCAAGCAGTTGGAAAAACTGAGTTCTGGAGGGAAAAATTATAGATGAAAAGGAGAACTGGAACGACTTCGGGAAGGTATAATTTTAACAGTTTGACTGGTATCCTATCAAGTCCGATGGAGTTTGTGTGTGATTTCATTATAGAGGAAATAAGGTCGGTCGGTGAAATGTTTGAGAAATAGAAATTATCACTGTTGAATGAGGGTGATAAGGAAAACTGATGAGAGGTGGGTGAACTGTTGCTGGTGGTGGAAGATATAAAGTAGGAATTTAGTTCATCGGGTGATACCGGGTAGAACGGTGAGGAAGAGGATTTACAAAGAGAGATTTTACGAAGGGTTAGCCATATTGATTTAGAATCAGGAGCAAAAGAGAAAGTTTCGTGAAAGAAGTTTGATTTCGCTTTCCTGCTCGTTGTTTGTGTCAAGTTACGGAGTACCCTATAGACTTGATAGTCATCTGCTAGTCGAGTTCGTCTGAAGCGTCTACGGGCTCCCACATGTCTCTTTTGCATGTCGCGGATTTCTTGACACATTCAAGGAGCAGGTTGGCGACGGAAGGTTGAGGTTTTGATAGGAGCATGTATGTCAAGAATATGGATAAGATTAGAAGTGAGGATGTCTACCATATGATCAATAGAGGTATAGGAATAAATATCGTTCCAGTTTAGGGTTTCAAGGTCCGGTATGATTTTATCACGGGTGAGGTTGTCAAGATTGCGGAAAGTTATGGTTTTAGGAAGAAACGTGGGAGTTTGGATATCGTACGATAATTGGATGAGATCATGAGAAGAAAGGAAAGGAACGGGTAATTGAGAACAGGACAAGAGTTTCTGCTCTGAATCGATGATATGCAAGTCCAGCCAGGTGTCAGACCAACAAGTATGGTGTGTAGGAGCGAAAGGAACAATAAAAAGGTTAAGGGAGAAGAAGAGATTTTCCAAATAGCGTTTGTTGTTGGATTCTGTGAGGAGGTTGGTATTAAGATCACCGGAAAATTACAATGTTATTATAGAAAGGGAGGGAAAGGGAGAAGAAGTGTGGACCCATGGGATTTAATTACCTTTCATTGGGTTTTCAAAGATTCTAATTTCAAATTAATGATTAGTTTGGCAGAATTCTTTTGTATTTATATCTTCAATTATATTATCATGTGACGCTAATGACCGGTTCACACCATGCGGTGAATGGATTGAACTCCAGTTGATTATACTCTTGACAAAGAAAGTAATTGTTGAATCAAGTTTTGACCTTCGAAGCGACTAGAATGCTTATCGGATTCCTTCCTTTAAAAGTGGGTTGGGTTTATCTTTTACTTTTATTATTATAATTTTGTAATAAATTTTATTTTCGTATAAATTAAAAAAAAATTCCCAATACTTAGTTTTATTTTTGTTTCACTTAATTCTTATACATCTTCAGCGTTTATTAAGAAAATAAAATGATTACTACTTTCATTATGTCTTTCAGTAATTAATCTACCATTTTATTAATTAATCATTATGTTATAATTATTATTATATTGAACTAAATATAATTATTATTTATGTTAAGTGGGTTGGGCTCAACTATCTTACTGGCGGTCTTACTTCCCCTGATGTTGAGGAGGTCCTTTGAAGTTGAGTTAGATCAAATAGTTCCCATCACTAGCGGATCCAGGATTTAATTTTGGGGTGGAGGAGCTTCAGCCTGCAAGCTTTTTTTTTTCATAAAAATAACGATAATTACTTTGGAAAAAAATAAAGAAACTAACTACCTATATTTTTTTTATTTTTTATTTAATTTTATTGAGACTTACAACTGTATTACATGGAAAATACAATAAGTAAATGTGTCATTGATAACATGACATGTACAACATGAAGAGAAACTACCCATTGGTAGAACTCAAATTAACTACCTATATGAAATTGTGTTTTAGTGATTCCTAAATTCTTTTTAAAAGTAATTACACGAACAATAATGATTTGAGAGATAATTTTTTTTTTCTCGATAAAACATGGTTATTATGTTTTCCCATTTTGGAGGAGAGGGCGGATCCCGGAATTTCCTTCGGAGAGGGGCGCACTTATGTACCACTTCTGTCCATATAACCACGTAAATGATCGTAAACCCTTCGTAAATACATTGTAATAATAAATTCTTTATTCAAAAACTTTACAAATGCCTTTGGCATATATTGTAAATGTGATAATCATTCATCAACTTCCTCTGCAGGATTAACATAAAAAGCTTGAATGGAGAAACCTCCCAGCGAAGGCATTCCTAACGTGATGTATTAATGTAGCTGATCTCTGCTCCAGAGACGTTTGAGTCTTCTTGTTGGATTCTGTGGTTGTATGTCTGTTAGTAATGTCTATACAAGGGGATTAGGATGTCCAATAAGTGAGTTGTGAAAGTTTTTGTAAAACTTAGTAAATAAATAACGAAAATAATCAGGCATTAGGTAATAATAGTATATTAATCATAAATATTTATAATATTTATTATAATTAAAAAATATGCTTTGTTTGCATTAAAGTAAGACTACCAAATGCTTCCACCGGAAGCTTGAAACCTCTATTTAACGATTATTCTGGCAAAAAAATGTTTATGTTGTGGAAGGTTACAGATTTTTGTACATCTCTTCCTCACTTTTTAGGTTATACGTGGCTTTTCCCGAGCCAGGGGAGAGGGTGGATTAATTCCAGAATTAAAAAAGGTCCCCCGGCAACGGAGCGCGAACTCGTAATTATTTTATCATTTAAAATCCTGTTTATAAGGTGGCCGGGCAACGCAGGCTTGCCACACGCGTTAGCCGCTAGGCCACTTCGCTCCGAAAGTATGCCGATTGACTATATATTTCTAATAAATATCTTGGAAGAAATTTCTTCGAGAAACCTAAGTCCTTTGGTCAAACTCTCGATGGCTCTCCTGATATTAAAAAATCTGAAAATTCTAAAGTTTAATTATTGGGCTATACAGAAAATAATGCAGCATTTCTTGTTTTCTTTATATTAACTCTCTCTATAACAAACTGTTTTCGTTTGATGGATTATTCTATCGTATAAATGTCAACACATACTTATTAATCCAAAACACATACTTCCAAATAAAAATGTTTTTTTTTTCTTCTGTAATTTTTCACTAATTCGAAATAATTAAATCTTTACTAAGACGTCGGAGCCTGATTTTCTAATAATTTCGTTTGAGTTAAAATCCGATCGGAACGAGTCGAAAACGGTCAAAAATATTAATGAAGTCTGGGCCGATGGAAGTGAATGCACCTTTCAACGATGGTTAAAAAAATTCTAGAAGGAGACTATCGCCAAAGATGGTCGTGGATGTTCTTCTTCCGTTGATGACGATGTTCCGAGAGCTTTGTTAGAAGAAAATTCCAACACAAGTGTTGAAAGAACTCTAAAGCATAAGTCTGTCATGTTTCTCCTATTTGACATAACCTCCAACTTGAATAGTGTTTTTTTCTTTCTTCCCTTCCTTGCCTTTTCGGCTATACGGGGTTTTCAAGGTCTAGGGGAGAGGGCGAGGAATTAATGCCAGAGTTAAAATTCGTCCGGCACCGGGATTCTATAACTCGTAATCTTCTGTTTATCATATTGCCTAGCAGTGTATTTTTGCACTCGAGTTAAAGTGCCCCCTAAGGGCACTCCACCTCCGGTTTTCTACAGCTTTTGCTGGCCAAAGCTACTTAAGCAGTTGCACAAGGATGAGGCTATCAGCAGCTAGTTTTTTTTTTTCTTTTATCCTCTTCTTACCCTTTTCTCCTATAAGTTGGGTAAGAGGAAGGTGGGCACAAGGGTTGTTATAAAGATATGTCAAAAACTTTTATGGCTGTTACAGCTCAGCAAGCACATGAAGATCTTGTTTCTATCATATCAGGTAAATTCGTACCTTTCTGTACCAAATCATTAGAACCCATCGACCCTCCTGTCTTTTTCACAGCTTACAATTCAAATATTCCATCCAATCCCGTCCCACCAGATCTCGTACTTCCGACCTCTATCCTCCTCCTCACCGAACTGCTGCGTTTGACAAATCCTTTGCAATACAAGCCGCCTCCCTCTGGAATTCCATTCCAGCTGATATTCGACGCGCTCAATCAGTTTCCTCGTTTGAACCTCTCCTCTTTAAGCACCTACTCCTTTCTCAATCCGAATGATTGTGAAATATATCTAAGAGAAATATCTGAGCACCACCAGTGACTACCTCAATTTATTAAGGTTATTTAAATTTCTCATATATATGTACAATTTACTTGTTCTTTTCTTTCTCTTTTCTGTATTTTTATCGTAAGTCAACTTTCATTGTAAATATACAATTTAATTGTAACCACACAGACATACAATCTGTATTCATATTTTGTTCTTAAGGGACAACAGTCCCAGAATAATAAAACATTTTTTCATTTCATTTTTCATTTCATTTCATTTCATTCCATACTCATAACCCCAATGTCTGGAGGAGGAAGAGAACTGTGGTATTAATCCATCACTCTCACCCTCTGGTTTCAGGGTACACTCCATATAGCCTAAAAGGCAAGGAAGGAGTAGGACAAAAACAATATAAATACTTAGTATAATATTACAGAGTTTGAAATCATTTATCTACCTGAAATGTTTCCATATTTTTCGTCTTCCTGCCTAATATGAAAGCAGTGTATGCCCTCCAAATTTTATAGTTATTTAAAAACATGTCAGTTACATTAAATCAACAATTTAATTAATTAGATATTTTAATTTCATAATTTCAGGTCTTCAAGATGAAAGGTGCCATTTGTGTCTTAATACTTTCAATTATAAACTGCTGCCATGGATACAACATATTGGTGATGATGCCTTTTCCCTTGTATAGTCACACCAAATCTTACTTGCCACTATTTATTGAATTAGCAAAAAGAGGACATAATATAACAATGGTCACTCAGTATCCACTAAAAGAACATATTCCAAATTTCAATGAAGTTGTGATAGAGGACAGTAGGAAAGAGATTAGTTAGTATATATTTCATTATTATAATATTGATGTATTATATGTATACAAGTTAATTTAATGACTAATTTTGTTGGGAATAAAAAAGTTATTCCAACTTTGAAAAAGCAATGGGGGTTCTTTCCACTTATCCCTTATTTATAAATGAGGTAAAATTTAATATTATTTGAAAATATATAAAAAAATATATATATGTATATATGAACAATGTGTAATCCTTCTTTGCCAGCATAAATTTAAGGGGAAAAAATAATAATCATACAAAAAAAATTTCATAATTTATACTAATTTGATTATATTTATTTATTTATTTTAACTAACTGATCTAAGCCAAATATTTTTATTAATTGAAATAAATTGTTAATAAACTAATTGTGTGTATACTGTGTTATGGATTAGGTCCTAATTGAGCCAGATTTTTAGCACCTAAAACTTCAAAACAAACAAAAAAAAAAAAAAATAATGAAAGTGATGAAAATAGAAAACAATAAATTAGATAAAGATATTATTTAAAGATGTTTTGAATATTTTTAAAGTGCACTTGCCTGATCTACATCCAGGAGTAGTCGGAGGGAAGCGTTGTAAGAGAGTGACTCTAATCTGATCTCCACCGAGCTGGTTAAGCTCTCTTACCAATGCTGGGTGAAAAAGATTCACTAATGACTCCCTCCTGCAAGGTTGCAACATTAATGTGTCCTCTCATTACATAATTTTACAAATCATTTCCTTAGATTCTAAGAGGCCCCAAAAGTCCAAACCTTTTTTTTTTTCCGAGGCCCATTACATTATAATATTCTTTGTCTCACAATCTGCCAGACTCCTTTTATAAATCGAATGAAATATTCATTCCTTTTGCTACAGAAAATGATATGAAGAAAGCTATATTAAAAGTTTTCGGGATTCTGGTGTTTTCTGAAACTAAAATGTGAAATAGTATGTATACCATTGAGCCATCTCTCTCTATATAATGATATATGAATACACATATGTAATGGCTCAATTATAGAGAACCTAGTAGCGCTCATGTGTACAACTATGGCTAGGTAATGATCCCTTGAAAAGTACTAATGAAGCTCAGAGGATATCAAAAAGATTTTTATTTTGTATTATTATTCTGAGAAGGAGATAAGTCGAGGATGAAAAAAACTCAGAATGCATTTATATGACTCTTTTGAAACTTTCTTCACCGTTTTATTAAAATATATATATTCAGAGATATTAAAATCTGTCACAAATTTCACAATTAAGAAGGGCGGATTAAGATGGTCTTTTGCACAAAAAGAAGCAAATAGATTCTGCAAGATGTTTATGGTGAGACATTCAGGAAGAAATAGAAAGAGAGAAAGGCCATGATTGGGCTGGCAGGAAGAGACCAAAGCATATTTGGAGTTGAAAGTGTGGGGAGGGTGTCCCAGGGCAGGAGGGTGGTACCGAGAAGGACTGTGAGTAAGGCCTGAGTTCTCAGCGGGCTATAGGCCCATCGGGGAGTGATAGATAGATAAATTATTATTTATTGTATTATATTTTAGTACTAATGTTGTATTTTTTTATGATAATGTAAATATTAAATAATTGTAAATATTATAAATAAATTTAATAGAAAGAGTTATTCTGGATGAGCCTAAAATATCTACTTTTTTAAAGTGCCTCTCAGTGATAATATTCACCAGAAATTAATGAAGTAATCATCTGAAGGTTACTCTGGTATTATCCCAGCAATCTTCATCCAGGACACCTCTGCTGTTATAAGAAGGTCAGGAAGTTATCTAAAATTTTTATGCCATGATCTCCCTTACTTTCTCCATTATTTTTCGTTATGTTCCTCTAGTTCTTCCTTTGTTACATCTGTATTATGGTTACAAAGTACCAATATGTTGTACAAAGTACAAGCAGTACTGGCCTTAGGGCGGAGCAACTTGGGGAATTGCCCAGAGCAGCGACCTAGATGCTAGCAACTTGTTAGAAAAAAAAAAGAAAACATATAAAAATGATTAATTTTAGCCTATCAATAAAGAAACTGTATGATAGAAATTTTGAATGAAATAAAATTTAAATATTATATAATTTAAACTAGCTTAAGAAATAAATTTAATTTTTCATCGGGGGAGGAGAGATGACACCATTGCCCGGTGGTACTGAAGGTCTAAGGCCAACACTGCTTACAAGTTGTGGTAATGTAAGTAGTCTGGTTTTCTACATTTTTCCTTGTCATCTAAAATAGTAAAGAGAACAAACATTTTAAAATAATTATTTTTTTTTAGAATATTTAAAATCTATCAATCTATTCATCTAACATCTATTAAATGATTCATACCCAAAAAATAATTTTGTATGTTTCTTTTTTTTTTTTTTTTTTCGGTTGGCTCTACAGACCTTGTAGTAGATCTTTTGCCACCTGAATCTATATATATATATATATATATATATATATATATATATATATATATATATAGAGAGAGAGAGAGAGAGAGAGAGGGAGTTAGAGGGAGAGAGACAGCACAGATAACGTTGTGATAATTGGCAGAAAATTCACTAACTATGATTGCACTACTTTTTATTTTTAATAGATTTTAAATTATAAGATTACTTGATCTTTTTTCTTTTCTTTTTTTCAGGAGGAGGCTTGTTTGATCCACGAGAGAGAAAATGGTTTTTCTTGAAAGTATTGGGTTATAGAGTATTTTGTAAATTTTCGCTTGATAAAGTTTTTGAATCTGAAGGCATGAAAACATTTTTGAATGATAGAGATTCCAAATTTGATATGGTCATTACTGAGACTTTTTTTTGCCAGGAACCATTTATAGCTTTAGGGCACAAGTACGGGGCTATTCAGGTTTCTGTCCAAACAATCAACGTATTCATGGGCTTATCTCGCTTAACCGGAAACCCCCATAATCCGGCTTATGTGCCCTTTCCAGCCGTTCCATCATCAAATCACATGAATTTTTGGGAAAGATCAAAAAGTACATTAGCTAATCTAATGGATTACCTTATATCCCAAACTCAATGGATATATTTGGTACTTTCCTTTCAGTTACTATTATTAGCTTGTATTCTCTATTACTAATTATTGTACTTTATGAGAATAATTATTTTTTTATTATTTTAGGACTACTATATGAGAAAACAATTTGCAGCATACCCGGGATTTGAAAATTTACCACCTATGATGGAGATGTTTAAGAATGTTTCTCTCGTTTTAGTTGATAATCATATGGCAATAACTTACCCTCGTCCATATCTCCCAAACATAGTGGAGATTGGGGGATTAACGATTAAAGGAGAGGAAAAGCTTGATGAAGTAATGCTAGTTTAATTAATCTTTTATAAATTACAACCCCATTTTAAAAAATAATATACACATAAGTGTGCATTTATAATTGATGTTGATTAACTATATTTATATTAATATAATTACAACAAGATCAACCATACTTTGCAGGAGAATAGTACTGGATCCATGGATTTGTTAGATTATTACAATTTTTTTCTCTATTGTACTATATATGTGTTTATATGTGGATATAAATAAAAATTCATGGTGGTGAAAACATTGACATATATACATATATATATATATATATATATATATATATATATATATATATATATATATATATATATATATATATATATATATTTATATTTATATATATACATACAGACATATATACATACATCAACAAAAACATTAATACATTAATATAAACTTCTCTGCTATGTATGTGATGGACTTCATGAAATTATTTTATACATTATTCATTAAACTTCATTTTACATTTACAAATTACATTTTAACTCAACATAATTTGTATATTTTGAACATTGAGCTAAATTAGCTAGGTATCGTACAAAACGTGAGAATCCAACATTTCACTACTGCAGGAATGCATATTCTACAATACATTTTAGAAAGTGATATTTTCACCATCATTAAATCCTGAGGTTTACAAGCAGGAATTACAAATATGAAAGTTATATTTAATACCATTTAATGTATCGGAAGTTATAAATATCATGAATTAAAAATATCTACTTTGTTAATTCACTGTTTTTACAGACCACTGAAAATATATTTTTAAAAACACTAGATCCCTAATTTTTGAAAAATAAAATAAACATAAACAAGAAGATGTTATCTTCTTTGCATACTTGGGCATTATTTAAATAATGTTAATAATTTTGTTTTAAATATTTTTTATTCATTGCCTCTATAAATTATTTTTTATTTGTTCATCTCTATTCTTTTTTTTTTTATAATGAGTAATAGATTATTTATTGATCATGGCTTATTAACTAATTTTTTACTGATATTCCAGTCAATTTGTTGTCCTCAGAATATATCATTTTTTATTTCTAATATTTTTATTTTTTATCTTCATTGAAAATAAATTAATTGTAGTTTTATTTCTATACTATTTCAAATGTAAGAATTGTTATAATAATACCAAAAGAAATTACTTCCCAATATCATCTTAAATAAAAGATCAGTGTTGTAATTAGTGTGAAAAATATACAAATATAATGGCTCGGTTAAATGAGCTTAGGACTGGAATTCAACCTAAATCATTGAAGAAATATTCCATTTAGTATTTGTGCACTTTTTTTTGTATAATCTTCAAGGAAGTTAAATGTATTATTTTTTCTCTGAAGCAGCTACCTTATGAATCTCAATTTTTAAAGAAATCGAGGTGTAACTGCAATTTTATTACAAATATGCTTCTGAATAATAGTATATATTATATATGGTTGCTTAAGCTGAGATAACTTGTCTGTCAATCAATACTACGATATTACTATTAAAGTATATCTATACGTGTTTAAACAGTATGAAGATATCAGATTTATTTCTTTTTTTTTCAATATTACAAATCCTTAAATATTTTAGGAATGGGAAAAATATTTGAATGAATCCGTGGATGGAGTAATATACTTCAGCTGGGGATCCCATTACAAAACAGGAAATATGAGGCCTCGTGAACTCGCTGCTTTCATGTCAGCATTCGGAAAGCTGAAACAAAGAGTACTGATGAAAGCAGATGAAGATACCCTGCCGGGAAAACCTGATAATGTAAGGCTGGCCAAATGGGTACCACAAGCTAGTATACTAGGTAATTATTTTTGTACATAATAAACATGTATGTTTTATATACCAGGTGCATATGCACAAGTCCTCTAAGGAAAAATATTTGATCGAGACGATGAAATTTTATTGCTTAAAATATCGTAACATAATATTTAATAAATTGTTAAGTAAAAAACTAGGGTTTATAAATTATATCATGGCAGCACAAGCCTGACTATTTACCATTGCTTCTGAAAATTCCTTAGAAATTTGGGGAATTATTTAATTACTAATTGAAGTAAGGCAAAGTAATCCTAATTTATTTATCTCCAATTCTCTAATATTAAAGGAAAAATGCTTGGGATGATCTGTTATACGTATTTTTTTTTTCAAATTTTTTTCCAAATTTATCTGGTTTAAAAAAACCAAAATAAATGAACCAGACATTTGAGGAATGCCTCATCACTACCGTATCCGAAAATGAGTTTGCCTTGCTTCTGAATGAGGAAGAAATGAGGAGTTTCTCAAATGGTTGGTTTAAATCCCTTATTCTATGTTTTGAATGGACTATATTTTTAAATGCTTGATCATTTCAATATGATCTGTTTTTTTAGTTTAAACAGACACATGGTTAGATTACAGTTGAGGTTAAAATATATATATTTACAGTTAATTATAACTTAACAGCCATGAAATTATATTTAGAAAATAGCAGAATCTTGGTTCTTAGTATCATAATGCTTATATTACTTACTAAAACTTATTATTATGACAATGGAACACATTTCTTGGATATCAGAATGAGATTTTATTATAAATAAAACTAAAATATTTTTTTCATTGACATTATTTAATATTTTTACTTTTATTCTATATTTTTGTTCACTATTTTTTAGGTCATCCTAACGTCCGAGCATTTGTCAGCCATGGTGGACTTCATGGAGTTTTAGAAGGAACTTATCATGGTGTTCCTATCATAGGAACTCCCATTTTTGCTGATCAAATGAGCCATATTAAATTTTGTGAAGAGGCTGGTTATTGCATATATATTGATCTCAGTACTGTCACCGAAGGAATCCTCTTAGATGCTATTAACAGCATATTAACAAATTCATCGTGAGTTATGAAATTTTCCTACTTTAAATAGTATTCATGTGTAATTCATTTGGTTATATTTATATTGTTCAAGGTATTGACAAGGGTTTCTACAATGAAAAGCAATTGCATTCTACTACAATCATCTTAGTTAGTTAGGCTTAGATACTCATCCTAGTTACTAACAAGATAATAAATAATATACACATCTTGAAAAATGTAAATATTATAGTATTGTTTGTCATTAACAAAATATTAATAAATAAAAATTGATATAACAAATACAAAAATAAAGTACAGAAAATAAAATATTATGGTTTACTATTTTAAAGATAATGAGCCAGTAAAGAATCATAAGATTAGGTAGCTAGGTCCAGACTATCTCATAGTTTTGTTTTCCATTAAGGGATATTAATCCATTTATAAAAGTTTGTATGAACAGAGGTAGATTAATTGTACCAATATTTCTCTAGTTAGTATTTAGCCTTACATAGAAAGATTATATGGGGGGGGGAGGGTGGAGAGGCCGAGTGGGCTAACCCATGTGTAAAATATGCATTGCCCAATGCTCTGATAATACGATGATTAGGAGTTCAAATTCCTGGGACCAGGAGGACTTTTAAGTTTGATATTAATCCCTGCCCTCTCCACTGGCCTAGAAAAAACACCATATAGCAGAAATGGCGAAGAAGGGCAGAAAAAAAATACATAGATTAGTTATATTCCCATTGGTGATCTTAACAGTCATGATTATTTCATAAGTGTCAATATAGCTTAAATTAGTATTTTATAGATTTTTAACAAATATGTGTTATTAAATATGTTTAGGTGTTATCACTGTCCAGCTTTACTGAGATTTCTTTAATTCATATTAACAATAATTATTATCGATTGCTTAATTATCATTTACAAATCCATTAAAATCACGGCTTGGCCCATTACATTTCTCATGCCATTAATTTATTTCTAAGAAAGTTGGATTTTGGCTATTTCATTTTTTTTATAATACAACAAATTGACTTTTAATTATTCTAAATAAACAATAATTTAGTGATAAATAATAATAAATCTTTTCACAGTTATAAAGAAAATGCCTTAAAAAGAAGTAAAATCATGAAAGACAGACCCCTGAGCATCATGGATAACGCAGTGTACTGGTTGGAATACGTACTTCGGCACAGAGGAGCTCATCACCTGAGGTCTGCTGCTGTAGAACTGTCTTGGTACCAATATCTCCTCCTTGATGTGATTGTAGTTTGGGGGGCAGTCTTTTTCGTGGTTGTATTATTGTTAAGGAAAAGTATTAAATGCATATGTAAAGCTAGGAAATCAAAAAGTAAAAAAGACTGATGAAAACTTTGGTATGAAGTCAAGAAAAGAAATGACAATAAGTGATTGTGCTGTATTTCGGATATTTATATTTCGTATATTTTATTTATTATACCCTACTGGCATTAACTGTCAGATTGAATTTAATATGTACATTGATGTTCTGTCATCTTATATTTTTCTTTAATGTAAATTATTATTTGCTCAATAATGTGGTTTGTTAAATATTTATGTAAAGCAAGAAGTACAAAAAGTAAAAAAGATTGATAAAAACTTTGGTATGTCTCTAGTCATGAATAAAAATAAACGTGATTTTGCTGGATATTTATATTTTGTACATTATATTTATTAAAAGTCAGATATAATTTAATATGAACATCGATGGGCCATGACCTTATATATTTTATTGTAATGAATAAAATTAGCTAAATAATCCAGTCATTTAAAATAAACTATCTAATTTGAAAAAATTGTAATTTAATATTTATCAACTTGTCATACAGCCATTTATTCAATATAGGATCAATGTTGATTATAAATTTGATCAATTCCTTGAAACATTTTTAAATTAATCATTTTTGTGATTTGTACAAATTGGTGAATCTTCATATTTTTTTAAAATTTATTTTACAACCTAATCCTGCTTTTTAGACAACATCTATATGTGTTTTCTGCCATGGGATAATATGCATTCCTCAAAAAGATAGAATATTATTGATAGGAAAAATAAAATCAAACAAACAATATCTTATTCACAATGTTCTGTGAAAAGTTATAGGAAATCTTTTCCATATTTGTTACAGAAAAAGAAAGAAAGAAAAATGATGTATAAAAAAAGTTCTTTTTATATAATAAATAATTAGACAGGGTCTGATTGAATTGAGAAAAGGAATTGGAATAAGAGAGTTTTAAATGTGACTAAAGATGGCGTATGTTGGATTTTAAGCGTGATGGGGGAGGGAGGGGATCCATTATGTGTTACAATGGGTAATAAATGAGGCAGTTCTGTGGAAAGGAATGTAAAGATCAGATGGACGAGATCTTTTGAAGAGGAAGTGGATAGATTGATAGGTTACTTGAATTGGAGAAGATTGTATACATATGACAGGAGATGATTATTATTTGGTAAAGAAATGCACCTAGGAAGTATTGTTTTCTGAAAGAAGGGAAGAACCACCCTAACTGAGCATATTACTAATAAACACGAGAACGTCTCGGGGTTCCATTGACAAATTTTATGTAGCCATTAATATTTGTTTTCAGTCTGTATCCGAGAGTTCGGTCACGAGGCCCCTGTACACCACGCAGACGTACTCCAGGTGGAGGAAGTTGAGAGAAGATACTAAGAGTCTACCTGTGGGCATGGGTAAGAAATGGTGTATGGGGGAATAGTTTCAGAGCACCAATTGACAGATGGGAGATGATGGTATTAAAGTGATTCCAGCAGAGGGTTCGGTCAATGAAAATGCCAAAGTTTTCAACTATTTCTTATAACTAATTTTAACTATTTCTTACTACTAATAATAATAAAAGACTTTCAGTTGTGTTAAACAAAACAAATTAGAAGTATTCAAGAAAAAGCCATTTTTAAAAATTGGCCTCTAATGCCTGTCGGACTGTTTGACTGAGATTACTACCTTATCTGACATTAATGAAAATTGAATTTTACTTCGATATGACGAGTTTATTCAAAATCATTAAAATCAAGGGGATGATAAAACAATTTTAAATTTATAATATAATATTACTTTCTTGTTATGACAGTCTTAAAAACATAATTTTAGTTAGTTTTGAACTAAGCTTTTTACACATACACACAATGAGTGTTACCAGATCTACCAAAGAAGAAAAAATATTGGGATACTCACAGAGTAATAGTATTGAAATAAGAGAGAATTCATGCTCATGAAAGATGGCAGAATTTAGAGTTCATCTTCTGGGAGATGATCCAACCTCATCATTTTCGAAGTGTCATAGATGGCTCGAAAACATGAGGATCTCTATTACTTAACTCGCTTCAAGCCGGAGGAGGATACATCCTGCCTGAACGCAAAAGTGGTATAAGTCAAAAAGTGAAGCTTTGAGATATTCAACATTTCAGTGAAAGTTCTTAAAAGTAAGTATAGGTATGAGGTAAGAATAGTAACAGGCATTTCTTGAAAAAAGAGAAACCGAATGTTATATTTTATTCATTCCCTGATACAACTTCTCCTTTTTTTTCCTCTCACTTCTAACGAGTCCACAACAAACCTCCCAGAATCAATACAGGTGGTGGTGTAGGATTCCCAATGAATTCAAAATAATATATTCCACCATACTCTGCAGATGGCTCCTTTTACACTAAAAAAAACTACAGTTAAAAGTGAAATTGCTCCTCTACTCCCAAACCAAAGTTCCCGAACTCAGTATTTTCTCTCACCAAACTCCTCTCTATGTTTCTTCTGTAGGTACGGTATTTATTTTTCATATATTTCCTCCTTTTCTTTTTTACTTTTACTTTTTACTTTACTTTGAGACGGATAGTAGCGGATCCAGCCGGGGGCCGCGCGCCCTCCCCCTCCCTGGAAATTGGAAATTTTTTTTCAAAAAACTGATATTCAAAGAACAGAGAGAGAAATATAGGGAAAATTCACTCTCATAGACGAATTTCCTAACCTAATATAAAACAAAATTATTATCGTGACCAGCAATAGGGAATTCCAACAGGGGGCGCAACTTCCCTTGGATGATGGGAAAAGTTCCGAATAAAACTTCAAAAAAACACCGATTTAAAGAAAAGCGAAATATAGGAAAAATTGATCCTCATAGACGAATTTACTATTGAGAGAGAAATACTTTATTTTTATAAAAATATAAAAGATTGCTGCCCAATTATATTGGGTTGCTAAATACACAGCATGCTCTTTTATCCTTAGGACAATAAATGAACTTATATATAAATATACAGAACATTTAACATTCCCTTTCTCTCACTTCTCTCTCTTTATCTCTATTGTTTTCAATTATTCACCAAATAAATAAACAAATACATAAATTAAAACTCTCGGGCTAGCCATGCACGTGGTGGTGAATGATTTCCAGGGAGTCGAGGACTATATTTTCATCCAACCTCGCTACGTCCTTAATGTCAACACCTAGTTCCTCGAGGAAGCTCCTTGTTCTTTTTGGAATTATTCCGCGAGACCCAAACCAGAGGCCTCTCACGATGAACTCTCTCTCTCTCTCCAAAAGTCTCACGGAATTTCTCTTTTAGGAAAGGGATACATTTATCGTAAATGTTCTTCTTTTCCCTTTATATATAACAAAAAATATTAATATTATTTAATTGGGGTTTATTAACACAAAAAAAGGTGCGTTTCTGCAACTTGTTTGAAAAACCCTCAAAATATTTTATTTTTACAAAATAACTTTGTATTTCACAGCTAACTCCGTCATCTAAAATTAATTTTAAAAAATACCAATAATCTTCTAAAAATATTTTCTGAAAGATCTGAACTGATGACCTATCTTTTATGAAATAATATTTACACATTTATAACTCTTCATATTTATTAGTTCAAGAGAGTGTGATAAGCGCGTGTGATTTAAATAGTAATTGTGTAGTGAGTAATTAAAAAAAAGATTTTATCATACGTGGCCAATCCACATTTGTAATTTTAAATTAAATTAAGTAAATGATACGTTTTGTAATGTTTGTTTTTGTTATGTCGGAAAAAAAAACTTTTTTTGTTGAAATACACCATTTCTCACTCCTGATAAAATCAAAACAATATTTATACAGTTCCTTTGTCACTGCCAATATGATTCAATGAGATTTCGAAATAGATGAATGTATTCATTCACTTAAATTAAGTATAATTAACGTATCAAAGTATATCGATTCGTTCGTCCAGAAATGGGAACAAAAATAGTATGAATAATTTCTAATATATCACATTTATCTAAAACTTAATACGTAACCAATTTTAATAATAATATTAATTTAATCCCTATTTAAACAATTGAGCTTCTTAAATGTGTCAATTAATGAATAATGCAATAACACAGCCCACAACCCAAGCCCACAAGACTTTCTGAGGCAGCTTAGAATTCGTTATCTAAAAGCACTGACAAAATAAGACCCTTTGTCAAGACAAAGGGAACAGTAACAGATTTCGGCAAAAGTCCCCTTTCTCTCACAGATCTCATCAATATCAAAGGATAAGAATGTCAATTGTTAACAAGTCCCCTTTTCATCCCTCAGACTTCATTCCCTTCATCTCCTCTAGTATTCATGGGAATATTTACTTACTCTCCTGGTCCTCAGGACAAATCTTTCTTCCTATCACATTCTTGTAGTCACACTCTTGCCAGGGGAACTGAATTTATGATCTTTTCGTACTCTGGTAGGAAAATTGGATGGGTAAAGTCAACCTATATGCTTATAATTCTATATTTAAGATGCCATATGTAACAGAAATTATAAATAAAAGTGATAATTCTAAAGTCTTCGCTGTCTGCGGTTTGTTAACACAATAAATAAAACAAATCGTAGGTTAGGCTACAAAAATTTAAAAAAACCTTTTGGTATTGGAATTTTTTAAAACTTTTTTTTTCGGGAGTATAGATCAAAAACAGTTTTAGTTTTAATTTTTTTATTTATGTTTTTATTTTAATTTCGTTCCTTCACTTCTCCGATTCAAAGTTAACAAACATTTTGTCGATATGATATCGACATATAGTTTTCGGATTTCAGAAACATTATCGTTCATTCTTGCTGGGCTCTACAGTGATTGAAGAACCATGGCCGCTACTGAAGTCTTCTTCCTAATATCCCTGTCAGCAGCGAAGCGCCTCCGCCGCTTTACACCCATCTCCTTTAGGTTACCTTCCACTTCGTCCAACGATCTTAGCCGCGGCTTTCCAAAAGCCTTCTTCCATCTCCCGGCTTTCCATAGAGAAGTTACCTTGGCATTCTTGTAGGGTCTATTCTTTCCACATGCCCCAACCATCGCAATCTGTCGAGTTGAATGACTCTAACA